AGCCTTGGTGAGCAGAAGAGACTTCTTTCAGAAACATTAAAAAAAAATTTTTTTACTGTCTTTGCACGCTGTAGGTTTCTGTAGGTCGTATAAAGTCTTTATTCGCTCTTCCACAAATTAACGCCTTAAAATCAGAGCAGAAAGTCTTGAATTCATAAAGTCATGGCATTAAATGCTCCATGCACTGAAAAAAATCAATATCTTCCTCAGTATTTTTGTCTTGTTTTCCAATACAAGTATCTAAACATCCTTAAATCACTTTATTTTGATAAGTTTCTCAGAAAAACAAGACTTCTTATCTCATCTTGTTTTAAGAATCTTGCAGTGGACATTTTTTTTGACTTATCGTGTTCATATGAACTTATTGTGTTCCCTTGAATCTATTCCTTTAATTTTCTTTACTTGGTCTCAAAAAGGTCTTAAACATGTCCTAAATTTACTTTCATAAAACCTGCAGAAATATTGAGTTAACCCTGGGTTATAAAGACCACAAATTATGCCGCTAAAGGTGTAGTGTGTGAAAAAATGCAGCGCTGAAATGTTAAATGTGTCGTTTAGATTCAGGCAACCACATTATACACTTCCTTCAAACTGTAGCCTCATTAAGCATTCATGTTTTGTACTGTCACAAACATCCACACTGTGTTGTGATTCAGTATTTTGAGCAGATTTTAGAAGAATTAAGACAAACAGAGCTTGTTCTGCTCATCCAATTAATGTTAATTCACCTTGTAAGTATGCAATTACCTCTACTACCTCAGATCAATCCTTTAGGGCAGAGTATGAACAATGTGAAATATGGAACAAGATAATCCAAAATTATGATTAATAATGACTTAGTCAACTATTTAAACCGTGAAAAGCCCATTAGAGTGCGTTTGGTCTGAAAATTGTCAGAATAAATCTATAAAGACCAAATATTTTAGTTAAAGAAACCAATAGTTTATATGTTATAAATCTCGCCTTCAAACAGCAAGACGCAGAATCAAATCTCTTTTACCATCTTAAGGAAACAAGGAAATGTGTCAACTAGTTTGCAGCGGATAAAAGTGCACAAGCAAAACAAAGGCGTGGAGTCGAATTTAATCATTACCTCATTCACCTTATTTGCTAGAGTGATGTAACTTGGCTGTATTAAATGACTTCTACGTTCCTTCCCGTATTTAGATTAGATTTGAGTCTCTCTTTCATGAACGCAAGACAAGAGAAGCTCTGTTTAACGCCGCTGCATCGCTTTTGGTCGTGTTTGCATGTGCTTTTCACTCTCATTATGCCGGACCTTGTCTTGTGCACGATCGTGTAGGTGAAGTCTATCAGAAGTCTAAACAGTCAATTGAGCTGGATCAAAGTGCTGCGGGAAGCGTCCCAATTCCCTCCTGATAGAGGGCTGTTTGCTCTCTATTGGGCTCCAGCTGTTGCTAGGAAACCCAAGGCAAGCGGAGCCATAAACACTGGGCCGTTCATGCCTCATTATGGCACACAGCGCTGCCTTTCTGACCCAGATCAGAGGTCTAAAGTTCTTCATCGATCTAGATCAAGCCTCAGGTGCTGTGTGGGATCCTGCTCGCTTACACATTGGCTTATTGGCACTAGATTTGCAACATGAATATGACTAATTCACCTGTTAACACAAACAGGAAGCTTGCGCTTTGAAGCTGATAACATCGTTTTAATTTAGTATCATGAAGGTAAAACCATCAACTCCAAAAGTTTTTTTTTTTTTTTTTTTTGAATCTTTTTAAAAATGTATTTATTTGTTGATTATATTTTACTTTGTATTTTAATTTAATTATTTTTTATTTTGTAATTGTAATTTTTTAATACTGCCAAAAATGTCAAAATGAAAAAATATGCAGCAATTCTATGCAATAAATTGGCTAACACAAAAAGGAGGTAAACCACGGCTTCACGGGGCTTATTGCTTTTATAAAACGGTTATTCCATTCAAGTGGAATGTACAAAACATAGTAACATAAATTTTTAAGTAAATATAATGGGCGATATATTGCATCGCAAAAAATTATTGAGGTCATGTACATATATTGCACGATAAGTCGATATATTGATTATTGCGAC